TGCAAACAGAGCTGCACCAGTTGAGTAGTCCTCGACTTACGACCGGTTGAATAGTCCTCAACTTACGACCGGTTGGGAGTTGCGACATTACGAAGGTTGAGAACCACTGGTCTAGTCCTATATAGTGGTCTCCAGAGTTCCTCATAGTTAGTGCAAAGATTCCTAGAAGTTAAGAAACACATTCAAAGGACATGTTGTGCTGCATATGCACCCTTGAGTCAGTTTTTAATCCTGGAGACTGGCTGGAGAAGTCTCTGTAACGTTCTTGCAAAGTTTTATGGAGGTGGTTTGCCACTGCGTCCTTCCCAGGGCTGAGAGACAATGACTGGCCCAAGGTTGCCCAGCTGGTTTCTGCCTATGGCAGGAATAGGAACAATCTCCTTTTCTATTTGTACAGATTTTATGTACAGAAAAATTCACACCAGGTTTATATACTTAAACATCATCCAGCTTCCATGTATTTATTATACATGGGTAGAAAACGGTCAGAAAGACCTTGAGGTTTTATACTATAATCTCTCTCTCTCTTTATGCATCTGTGTACAGAGACACAAATATGTACATCAAAGTAGTATAGTACTTATAACTTTAACACATATTCATATATATCCATTTCGCCTTACAATTCTCAAATGAAACTAATGATCAACACCATTATCTACATAATACAGTATTTTATACCCTGAGGATGTGCCACTACATTCCATGCATAATATATCCAAATTGGTGGGATGCAATCAATAGCATCTAGATTAGAAAACAGTGTGTTCGTGCTTGGAATAAATTTGGACCTTGATTATCTTTATAACACACTGGTCAAAATGTATTACAGTTCAATCATTATTACTGAAAAGAAATTTTGTATGAAATACTTAAGGGTGGTAACCTATCTCTTCCTTCTCCAGCTTGTGAAATTGTGTTATAAGAAAATAATTTACCAAAGCTATGATGAATGACTACAATGAATATATTGGGGCTTACCTAGTGTGGTTCATGTATTTGGAAGATTGACTTGACTTAAAGTCAATGTATTTGGAAGATTAACTTAACTTAAAATGTAAGAGATAACTGGTAAAGAGCATGAATGAATGAAAACACATAGCCTGTACTCAGTGAAGAGAAAGGTGGAGGATGAGCAAAAAAGTCAGAAATCTACAAGATGAAAGATTGTTGCTGAATGAATTAATAATGATAGTTGTTAAACGTAATATATGTGGGAGAATAAATGCAATGTTTGGCAAAAGGTTCAAGACAGAAGCCTAGAATGTGTGATTTCTTCTTGGTTGTTTACTGTATTTATACTTAAATGTATAAGAATGTGCACGGTGATGGCAGAGGTTTGTTGGTTAGAATTTAAACATGTGTGTATTTTTTATGCAGATTATGTCTTGTTGGCTGAAAAAAACAAATTATTTTCAGCAAATACTAAATGGCTTGCATGATGCAACATACCACTTGAACTGAAAATGAATGTATCAGAAACCAAGATAGTTGTGTCTGAAAATGAATATATTTTAAAAATCAAGACAGTTATGCTTTGAGTGGAGTGTCCAATTTCAAATTACACATTAAAAATGAAGAACAGAGCAGGCAGATACATTTCCAAACTGATCAAGATATAGGTCTGAGTTTTATTTATGTTTAAATAAAATTAGACAAATAAGTATGGTGCCTTGAGGAAAATATATAGAGAAATTTTAAGATCCGCAGATAGTGGTACAATGTAATGGGTAGCATATGATTTTGCATGAGGAATGGATGTTTGTCAAAAGAAGCAGAATGATTGTGATTAACAGCCTGATTCTGCTATTTTGCTCTTAAGAAAAACATAAAAAAGCAGAATGTAGTGGAAATAAGGTATTTAAAAACTGCATATGGAAAGCCAGAGCAGGTGGAATCAAGGCTAAATTAGTATTGAATGAATGTGGATTAGTTTAAAGAGAGTGACTGGTTTGAAAAAAAAATGAACACAAAGGTAGGTTGGAGCAAATAAATCCCAAATATATAAAAGAAGAGTTCATCAGCCAAAAGGAAAATCAATACTGAGAAAATTATGGTTGGATGGTGTTGATGAGAGTCTAAAAAAAAATAACCTCAAAAATCAAAATGAGTCTATAACATCCAGGTAATTCTCGACTTACAACCATTTGTTTAGCAACCATTCAAAGTGGCAATGGCACTGAAAAAAGTGATTTACAACTGGTCATGCACTTACGAGTGTTGCAGCATCCTCACGTTGATCACATTCCACTGATCAACATTCCGGGACTTGGCAATGGATATTTGTGATGACAGTTTCAGAATCCAGAAATAATGTAATCACCATTTGTGATCTTCCTAGCTGGCTTCCAAAAAGCAAAAACAATGGGGAAAGCCGGATTTGCTTAATGACCACATGATTCACTTAACAACTGTGGCAAAAAAGGTCATAAAATAGGGTATCACTCATTTAACAACAATTCTGGTCCCAATTATGAGCATAAGTCGAGGACCACCTATAAAGAAGCAAGTATGGTTTGCAATAATAAAAAGTTATACAGCCATACAATAAACAGTTGGCATAAACTAGATTTAGCTAGCTTTTCCATCCATTTATTTAATCTCATGGTGTAATTTGTTTAGCTTACAATTTCTTACTTTGTGAAGAACTGACTCTCCCAATAGCTTGACAGTTTGTGTGTGTATGTATATATATATATATGTGTGTGTGTGTGTGTGTGTGTGTGTGTGTGCATATAATTTCAGTTTTCAGTCATTCTATTTAAAGATTAATATGTTTAACCTTTTTTTAAAATGCATGTCTTCTAAATAATTAAAGGCATTATACTGAATTTTAGTTGATTACAAAAGGAAGCCAAATGTTTCAAGCAAGATAAAACTACAAGAATAATTATACTGAGATATATATTCTGGAACGGGCAGAAAACCCTTTATCCTTGGAATACTCTGGTCTCTGACTTCCTTCCTCCCAAAAGAGTAGCAACTCAAGGAGAAAATTGCCTCCAAATGTGCCCAACATTTTGACGCAAGAAACAAAATACAATCTTCTGTCTTCAAGTCTTCTCTAACTCTGCCACACTGGAATTACCTATTTCATATTTTTCTCTTCTACAGTATAATATAGAATGAAAAATAAACAATTTTTATTTCACCATTACAAAAGTGGGTATTATTTTCTCAAACCAAATAGCCAAATCTTATATAATGTTAACATTCTCTATTTTTCACAGGTGCATGGTAAGGCCTAAGAAACTCAGAATTTCATTATAGAAAAAAACTGCTGAACACTACGCCAGAGGCCCAAAGTCAAGCAGTAGCTTTTCTATGTCCATAAATATATTCAAACTGACAGGAACCACCAAAACATCAGTTTAGACAGGATAATGCAACAGAGCAGTACTGCAACAATATGTAAGAATGGCTAAGCTGTATAGGTAGTCCTCGACTTACAACTATTTGTTTAGTGATTGTTACAGTGGCACTGAACAAAGGGAGTCAGAAATGGTCCCTGAAGTTATAAACCAATGCAGTGACCATGTGGTCACATGATCAAAATGTGGGTGCTCAGCGGTCTACCTGCACTTATGACTACAGGGGCACTTCAACTCTCCCCACCCCATATATGCCCTTTTGGCCCCCTGAACTCCAGGGCCCCTGCCACTTTAGCTGACCTTCTCTATCCTTTTGTTCCCACTCTTGAATAAGCCTGGCTAGCCTGGCCATTCCTGAGACAACTACTAGCTGCATGAGACTTTCTTCCCAAGGTCATGCATAGTGGTCTTCTTACAAGACCAGGGGGATATGGCTTCAGGTGGCCCTACTGAAGAGGCAGGGTAGAAATTCCTTATCAGCAGCAAGAGGAAAAAGATGGTGAAGGTTAGATGGAGCAGTAGGGGCTTCAGAGTTCATAGTGGTGAGAGCAACTATGGCTGGGACTGGATTGGGACACTTCCTGTAAAGCTGTGGCTTTGCATCATGCTGTTGGAGTTTCCCAGGGAAGAGATGGAATGAAGAGGTACCTGGGGGAATTGAAGGGGAGGCATTTCCTTATCTTGGAAGAACCAAATTTTAGGGCTGGGATGGCTCAAACCTGGAATGGCTTGGATTGGGGTGGGTTCTTGCCTAATTTGCTTAACGACAGCAACAGCGAATGTCAAGATTGCCATGGCTAAGCAATGCAGTCATACAAAATCATGCTTATGACCACACTGCTTAACAACTGAAATGCTGGTCCCAATAGTGATTATAAGTCAAGGACTACCTGTACAATGTGCAGAACTGAATCTGACTTGCTATAAATTCTTCAACAAGTTTCATGTGTTCTGTTTCACTTTGTCATGAAGGGCATGGTTGCTTCTTCACTCTATAGCGAAGAATGAGGTCAAATCTAACAAGACCTTCCCCACTGTCTTTTGTTCAAGGTATAGTAAAAGCGACATAGCATTGTCTCTGAATGGCGAAGGGAAATTCTGTGAAACTGGGAAATATTTGCATATCCAAATATATAAAGCGCATTGAGAAAACAGAATGCTTTCCTAGGCCAGATTCCAAACCTAGTCATAAAAAGGAGTCATTCTTCCTCTTGGACAACCCTAAAGACTAGAAGTTTTCACCTCTATTTTAAAACAATACTGCTTGAACCAAAAGTCTTGTTTATCATAACTATAATTTTTTTGAACAACCCAACTGCAAACCATAGTTTATGAAACCTGTTTATCTAAAACAAGTTTAGAGTTTGTAGAAGACACTAATTACCATCAATTCTTCATGTTCCTCATTTTGGGCATAGTGGATAAAAGGAAGAGATTGTATTCTAAAGGTGAGATAGAGATGCTAGGCTTGATCTCCATTTATTACAATATCCTCATCTGAAAGGAGCTTATGTCTGACAACAGTACTACACCAGAGTAAAACTAATATTGCTTCCCCTCTTACTGTTATGGAACTATTTTCAAGATAATTGTCCTACTAAGATTATCAATGGAGGTATCCTTCCTTACCAATATTAGGGTGCTTCAAAAGGCGACAGATTCTAGCTTCTCTCTCTAATTTCTGGTGATCTGTAAGAAATGAAAATATACATAATTTTACAAAAAATATTTTTTTTGATTTAACAGAGGCAAAACAAATTATAACCTGACCATACAATATATAATTCACTTTGTGTAATTTAAATTGCAATAATTCTCTATTCCAGGTAGATGTTTTCCTGACAGAAACAAAACAAGAAACGATCATCAAACCTACTCAAGTCAAAAATTGAAAGGGGCGTTGTCTTACCTGACCGCCTTTTCTCAGCAGGATGATGTAGAATCCACCGGATGGGTTCATTACAGCCTTCCTACCCGATAGACTAGGTCAAAACTTTGGCCACACCCCTCCTTTGGGCGTGACTCCAGTTTTGACTGAGACGAGAGCTGATCTAATGAGTTCCTCATAGTAGCTCCTTGTTAGTCACCTGCCTAGACTATCTGCATGGGGTGTGTGTGTGGATTCTACATCATCCTGCTGAGAAAAGGCGTTCAGATAAGACAACGCCCCTTCTCCAGCAGGATGGCTGTAGAATCCACCGGATGGGACATATCAAAGCCCTTATGTCCCCTTGGGAGGGAGAGTCTAGGCCACTGGATCCTGAGCAGAGACAACCTGTTGGAGTACACATCTGCCAAAGGCAGCATCAGCCGCCGCGAAGGAATCTACGCGGTAATGTCTAACAAAAACCAAGGGAGAAGAGCAAGTTGCGGCTCTACAAATTTCCTCTTCCGAGGCCTGTGTAGACCACGCGGCCGATGCAGCAGTGCTGCGTGTTGAGTGAGCCGTAACGTGTGAGGGAACAGGAATTGACTGAGAGGAATAGGCTTGAGCTATACAAGCTCTAATCCACCTACCTATAGTTGAAGAGGAAACTTTCTTCCCCATAGTCGATGGTTGGAAAGAAACAAATAGGGCTTCCGACTTACGGAAGGAAGAAGTACGCTTTACATAGTAACACAGAGCTCTGCATACGTCTAGCTTGTGCCACTGATGTTCCAACCTGTGTGTGGGATTTGGACAGAAATTAGGGAGAATTAGCTCCTGAGATCTGTGAAAAATGGTGTTAACCTTTGGGATGAACGCGGGGTCTGGTCTAGGGACCACCTTGTCCTCGAAGAAAGTGCATAGATCTTTCCTGACTGAGAGCGCTGCTAATTCTGAGATTCTTCTAGCTGAGGTAATAGCCACTAGAAAGGTTACTTTTAAGGACAAGTATGGAGAGAACATGAACTGAGAGGTTCGAATGGAGGTGATGTCAAGGCCTGTAGTACCTTAGTTAAATCCCAAGAAGGATACCGATGTACTACAGGTGGTCTGGTATTGACTGCTCCCTTTAGAAAGGCACTAATTGCCAGATGTTGTGACAAGGGACTTGAATTGTCGCAGGAAAGAACGGTTGAGAGGGCCGCTAATTGTCTGCGAATGGTACTGGATGATAAGCCCTTATTCAACCCTTCTAACAAATAATCTAGGATGTTAGGAATAGTAACCGAGAGTGGTTCTAAGCAATGTCTAGAACACCACTTGCAAAATCCTTTCCATGTAGCATCGTAGATCCTGTTTGTCAAAGGACGCCTTGATGCTTGAATGATCGATATCACCCCGGGTGAGTATGATTGTCTGGTTAAAGTCTGCCTCTCAAGTGCCAAGCAGCTAGTTGTAGCCACTGTGGGTCTAGATGCAGGAGTTTGCCCTGACTGAGAACCACTCGGTCCGGGGGAATCCTCCACGGAGGTGATATCGAAAGATCCACCAGGTCGGCAAACCACGGACGTCGTGGCCAATGTGGAGCAATCAAGACTACTTCTGCACCTTCCAGGATCAACTTGCGTATGGTTGCCGGTATCAAAGGGAGTGGTGGGAAGGCGTACAGGAGTTGCGCCGGCCACCGACATCGGAGAGTGTCCGTTCCCTCCGTTCCTGGTGTCGGGAATCTGGAGAAGAACCTGGGTAGTTGTGTGTTCTTCGGGGTAGCAAATAGGTCCAGGTGCGGTCGTCCGAACCTTTGTGAGATTTCCTCAAACAGAGCCAGATCCAGATGCCATTCTGCATGGTCCACTTTGGCTCTACTCAGGGAGTCTGCCTGGAAATTTGCCTCCCCTGAAATGTGTTCTGCCCTGATGGAACCCAAATTTGACTCTGCCCACAGACCCAGGGCGATGCTTCTTGCATCAGTTCCCAGGATCGGGTCCCTCCCTCCTTGTTGACGTGGGCTTTTGCTGCCACGTTGTCGGTCAGAATGAGAATATGTTTCCTTTTTACTAGATGGGAGAATCGAAGGAGGGCCAGGTGTATGGCCTGGAGTTCGAGCCAATTGAGGTTGTGAGCGAGATCTGAGCGTTTCCTCTGAGCATTTCCACTGATCCTGAGCTAGGTGAGTTCCCAGGTGAGCTCCCCAACCGAATAGACTCGCGTCTGTTGTGAGAGTGATCCGGGTTGGTTCCCTGAATATGCTTCCCTTGATCATCGCGGGTGATATCCACCAATGTAGGGACCGTAATGTGTGATGTGGGACTGTGACCTTCCTGTTGGAGGTACTGAGGTTCCTTCTCTGATAAGGGAGGAGAAACCACTGTAAGTGTCTGGAGTGGAGTCTTGCCCATGGAACAATGCCCATGCAAGATATCATTTTCCCCAGGAGTTTTGACAGTTGTGCCAGAGGCACTCTCCTGTCCTTCCGAACCTGATGGACCAGTTTCCTGATGCTGATTCAACGCTCTTGAGAAAGATATAGCCTGCAAAGGGATGAGTCTATTATTGCTCCCAGGTGCTGAAGTCTCCTTGTGGGAGTGATGTGGCTCTTTTTGAAGTTCACAGAAAATCCATGATTCTGAAGGGTGAGTATCGTGGTCTGAATGTCTGATTGTGCTGTTTTGAGAGAGCTGGACTGAATTAGAATGTCGTCCAGGTAAAATTGTACGCGCACTGGCATCATTCTGAGGTGCCGGCTATGACTGCTAGTATCTTGGTTAAGACCCTTGGGGCTGAGGAGAGCCCGAAGGGTAGGGCCCTGTATTGATATTGCCGGTGAGCGTAGCAAAATCTGAGGAATTTGCGATATTGGGGATGAATGAGAATATGTAGGTACGCCTCCGTGAGGTCTATTGAGGATAATAGGTCTCCCTTCCTGATACTGGCTAATATGGACTTCAGGGACTGCATCTTGAACCTTCTATAGGTTAAATAATAATTCAGTCCCTTTAAGTCCAGTATCGCCCTCCACCCTCCTGAGGTCTTTGGAATCACAAAGAGGATGGAGTAGAACCCCTTTCCCTCCTGTTCCTTTGGTGCTATTTCTATGGCCTGAATTGGTAAGAGGTGTGCAATGGCCGAGTCTACCAAGTCTGCCTTGGAGGAGTTTCTGGAGAGGGGACACCTGATGAAGAGGTCTGGTGGGGGAGAGTAGAACTCTAGGGTGAGACCGTACCTGATTGTTTCTAATACCCAGGCGTCGGAAGTGGTCTGTTCCCAGACCTCGCTGAACCTTCCTAACCGACCCATGGGAGAGTCTTCCCTGGCGTCACTTGGATCGCCTGTAAGGTCGGCCTCCCGATCCTCTGAAGGGACGTTTGGATTGAAATTGGCCTCTGGCTCCCATGTTTGGGCGATCCTGGGAACGATCCTGTTTAGAAAAGAAGGATCGCAAGCCTCTTGACCAGTCCCAGGATTGCCCTGTTCGAAAGGGCTGTCTCCACTCCCAGGAGCTGCTGGGACAGAAGCCCTGTTTACGAAAATCCTGTGGAGTTTTTCTATCCAGCTTTTTTGAGGGGTGGACTAAAATCTTATGTTTGTCCCTGCCCTCACTTACATGTGGATCCAAAATGGATCCGAACAAGAGTGTCCCATTGTATTTGGAAGTTGATAGATGCCACTTGGCTTTTAGGTCAGTTTTCCAATTCTTGAGCCATAGGAGCCTGCGCGAGGCTACCGTGGCTGCTATGGATCTTGCTGAGTATTTAGTTGCGTGTAAAGAGGCGTCAGCCATGTATTGTGAGGCAGCCAGTATCTTGGCCAAAGTTTGGTGTGTTCTGACCTGATCAGGAGGTACACTGGCTTGTAGCTCGCGAAGCCACATGATACAGGCCCTGGCGAAGAAAGATGAGGAGATTGCAACCTTGGCCGCCCAGGCTGAGGCCAGATGTGCGTGATGGAGGGAGTGTTCAAACTTCTTGTCTTCCACTCTCAGAGCTTCTGCCATGTCCCCTGGAATAGCAGATGTGGAGAACAATGAAATCAGGGGACTGTCAACCGTGGGAACATCCAACAAGGAGGAAAAAGAAGGAGCAACATTAAATAGCTTTCTCTCCACACTGTTAGGAGTAGGTGGTGCTGCCAGAGATGACCATTGCTCCTCCACAGAGGTGCGAAAGACCTCAGGACAAGGAATGAGGATAGATAGGCCTGCTCTTTTTCTACGGAAGCTTAACAGCGTATCATTAATAATTTTCAGAAATTATGTTTTGCACAAATCACTGCCAGTTTTGGAATTTCAGTGAATGATAACCATAATTAATGAGTGAAGAAGGAGAGAAATGTATTCAGAGAAGGCAGAGGAAGAGGTAGGTATACCACATCTTGATGGCAAAAATTTAGATGCTCACTTGATGAGGTACATAAAGCTCTGATTGTTGCCATCTATATTCTACAGTATTTGCCACCTAGATATGCCTAACTTCTTCAACTGCACTCCCTTAATCCAAACACCTCCTAATTTACAGGTACTCCTTGACTTATGACCACCAATGAGCCCATTTTCATTGTTTACCCCATTTTACAAGCTTTTTTGTTAAGCAAATCATTGCAGTTGTTAAGTGAATCTGACTTCCCCTGTTGATTTCCAACCAGCTGGAAAGTTACAAATGGTGATCACATGACCCCAGGACAATGCAATTGTGATAAATATATGCCAGTTGCTAAACATCCAGACTTTAATCATGTGACCATTGGGATACTGCAATGGTTGTAAGTCTAACAAGCAGTCATAAATCATTTTTTTTAGTGCCATTGAAAGTCCGAATAGTTGCTA